ATTTTTCTCCCCAAGAAGGTGAAACTTGTAGCTGTACATTTTGTTTTGTCTGAATTTACCTTCCAACCTTCCTGAGTTAAATGTTTAATTAACAGCTTTAGAGTTTCATTAACCTGTTTCTCAGTGGGTCCAGTTATTAGTATGTCATCTACATATTGCCAGATCTTTATTCCTTCAGCTATATAATCTGTGTTTGCCTGAAATTTGATAAGGGTTTTGCCTATACAACTATTAGCTATAGCTGGTGAATTTTTATACCCCTGTGGACATACCTTCCATCGGTATGTGTTCCCATTAAGGTTCATATTTAACAAACCTTCTTTATCATTTATGGGGATTGAGAAAAACATATTCTTCAAATCAATACTTGCTCCCCATGGGTGTTCTTTTAAGTTTCTAATGGAATACAATATTTCTTGTGCAGTGTGATTTTGCATAATACTCACATCCTCTATTCTTTAATTTACTTCTCAATAATCTACTACTAATCTGACTTTCCCATTGCCCTTGTCTATAGTCCATGCAGGACTAACATATTTGCCTGGGGTAGTTAATTCTATGGCTCCTTCATCTATTAACTCTTTTATTAATACTTGAGTTGGGCCTGATAATGAGTCCTTAATTTGGTAGGCACGCACCTTTTTTGGTATGGGTGAAATTTTACTCTTTAATTTAGGCTTGTGGAGTTCCTCCTCTGAGACTTCAATTAGCAACATTTCCTTTAATGATTCTTTTAGATAAGGATCATGCCTTATGCTATTTATGCCTAATATATTCTTTGAGCCAATTAATACTTCTATTTCTTTTCCCCCTATTAGGATTATAGTTCCAACTTGATGTTTAGTATATTTCCCATTCACTCCCACAATGGTAATTTCTTTATGTTTTGGGATAACTAAATGCGAGTCTGCCTTCCTGATCATGTTAACTTGTGCCCCTGTATCCATTAGGAAAGTTGCTCTCTCTAATCTTAAATCTTTGGGATTCACGCATTCTAAGGTTACATAAGGGCGAGAATCTCCATTCAATTCTTGTTGTTCTGGCATAATTTCAGCTGTCTCGGGGGAGGGACAGAATTTTACTGGCTCTCCCCCCGTGACCCGTTTTTTGGGTTGCTTTGTTTCTCAGCAGTCCAATCTTTCCAAGGTTTCCATCCATGGCTTATGGCTAACTGCTTGTTTTCCTTCAGCATATTCTTTCTTAATTCTTCCCTTTCAAACCCTTTACTTAGCAAGAATCCAAACATAGCCTTGTCCTCTTTGGTTGGGGTAGGTTTATTTGGACCCTTTCCTGTTACATATACTTTGGGCTTTTTCTTAATTTCTTCCTCCTGCACTATGTTTCCTATCTGATCAGCTACTTCCCAGGGTGTCTGTCCCACCAGCGGCAGTAGCCAGGCTTTTACTCCTGGAGTTTTCAAAACATTTGTTGCTACCTCTAACGACATCCTGTTGCAAGTTATTTGTTCAGGAGTGGTGATAAACAAACAATCATTCCTTAATCTCTGTTGTACTGCCGATAGGGTGTT